ACGGAAAGAGGAGTACGAGAGGATTTGCGGTTCGGTATGCGCGAGCTGCAGTTATACAAGGAGATGGAATTGAGGCGATTAATTAAACGATTGTAAATTGTTCTATAGCAAAAATGAAAAGTGCTACGGCCGTGGCAGCGCGCTTTTCGAGAGTTCCTCGACTATTAATTATTATTCTTTCTACTATCTTTGCTCGATGCGACTTCGACGGAGTGGCTGGTAATAGTGAAATTACCAATAACGAGAAGAGTGGATAAAGATGTACGATCGAATAATTTGGTCGAGAGGTCGAAGGATCTCGAGGAGCGCGATGCTTTGATCGTTTCGATGTTGATATGTCAATGCTGTGATGTTATCCTTTGAAACTTCAAACGAAAAAGAAAAAAAATATATATTTCCCCTCTCCTATATTTGTCCTTCCGCCACGTCCCTTCGATACGGCCCGTCCCCGACTTTTCCAGAAAGTATCCCGCAAGACGAATCCCCTTTTCTCCTTGGAAAATGAACATTTCTATTACTGTAACACTCCGCATAGTCCTTTAAAGAAACAAAAAAGAAAAAAGAAAAAAAATAGCTAGACTCTAATCGTATTTAATGTAAAGTTTATTATTGTTACATCTCAGTGATTCTCTCCTCTTATCAGTGATATCACGGAGAGAACGATGTACCCGTCGACGAGTGTACGCGTTTCAGAAACATACCGATGAAAATTGTATAGCGATAGTTTCAGAATAAGCATAAGGGGCGTTAACTATTATTAGGGAAATCCTGAAAGTATAGGCGACCGATAATCGACCAACTCATTATACTCGTTTCTCTCCGATACGTCACTGGTAACCAAAATTCCTACATTTGTCGCATTTGTAAATAAAATTTTTATCATCACACGATGCAACGTGTTGTTATTCCTATGCCTAAACCTAATCATTAAATTACCATTTATGCCATCCTATTACACGTGTCTCGTTTTATCGTAGGGGAACGTGAAGATAGTAGGTGAATGAAAATCGATCAAATTTTTAGACACATAAAATGATACTTTCTTTCATCCGATGTTACAAAATGAATATTTACATTCTACCGTGTCGTTCGGAATAATGCAAGGTTCATTGTACTCGTTACAAGTTAAGCTGTCGATTTGCGCAATCTCGATGCTACGATTTCACGCTTGCAGCACGTACAAGCGATGAAAAAAAAAACAAAAGAAAAAAATAGTTTCTGCTCGTTTTGTCACACACGGTTAAACCTAGGCAGTTTTCAGATTCACATTGTGTGGCGACTCTTTGGCAATCGATGCAAAAAAAAAAAAAAAAAAAAAAAGAAACAACGAAACACGGTGAAAAGAGCAGAAAGGACAGAGTTTTCTATTTACAACGATTCATATACGGAAAATGTGATACTTTCCACTTTGATATTAGCATGCCTGTTCCATTGAAATGAAACGAAGGAAATTCGTTAATTTTAAACGACCAACAGGACAACGAATAAAACACGATTTGATTTACAATCACGATTGGTTACTTTAGAGGCAATTGTCAAAATTATCCGAGTACCAAAGTACCTCGTCGTATTTACACGAATATACCTGAATCCCATTGGATCGTGTTGCACGACGAAATTTACAGCACGGGATTCTGATAAAATAATAACTTAAAATTCCAAGTTCGCTATCTTACATGCTACACGATTGTTATAAATAAATAATAGAGTTACATTCCGCGATATTCTTGGATAAAATGTTCTTTGCAATATAAATACACGTGTGAGACCCGCGGGACTATTTTGTACCATTTCTAGATTTTTGCAAAAGTTGTATAAAAACCCCCATCGCCAATATATTTTCCTCCGCACGCAAAATTCTTAAAAGCTTAATTAATTAAATATTCGTTCAGGTAAGTCCCAAAGGCTTACACGTTATTACATATCCGACTATGTTCCTTATAATAATCTCTCTAGCGCAAGACATTTACACAATATACGGCTAAATGTATTATTTACCTAACATTTCGTACGTCTACCTTTGGTACAATTGTTCTTCCTGTTGACTATAATCGTAAATTCTCTTTGTTCCGTCTGATCGACGTGGTATAGCCGAGACACGAACCCGTGCTCCTTCTTTTCTACCTTCTTATCTACTTTCAATCCATCACACTCAAACTATCATTCATAAATAATCTAAAAGATTTAAAGGATCATTTCCCAAATTTCCCCGTGGATCAATTAATTTCCCCCCCCAAAAAAAAAAAAAAAAAAATAAGTCGTACCTGAAAAAACTTTCTCTTCGCTCTTCAACCAAACTTCAAATACTGCTCAACGTAATCGACACGAAGCTGCAACTCGATCTCTCACTCCCATGCCGCACACAGACACAGACACACACACACACACACACACACAGACTCACGGATTCATCTTCAAACAAAGTACAAATTCATTCATATGAACAAATAATTTTCGTAGTCCGCGTAGGAGGACGCTGTGATGTGTTTCGACGAGATTGGCGTCGACGGGACGCTCTGAGGCAACTGTTGCACCCGAGGGATTTGCAACTGCGGCAACTGTGTCGCATGGGGCACCACGATTCTTGCCTGCTGACTCAGAGAGCCGAGGGAAAGGTGATGCTGATCGATCTTGTGGATATTGTTGTTGTTGATCGAGCTGGTATCTTTGTGCTGGTACAACGACAAGTGATTGTTGTTGTCGTTACCTGGGTTGTAATGGGGCTGATGGGTGCCGTGGAGGTTCAGTCTTGACATCGCCATGCTGATGCTCGAGTCTGACGCCCACATGCTCTGCGAACAGCACGATTGTGTAACGAATTTGACTTTCTATTATGCTCTTGTGAATGAACGCCGATGATGCTGGCTGACGCAGCGAGATGCGCCCGTACGCGTAATTACTATCTTGGAATTGAAACATCCAAGTTTCCAGGAAGTTTCCAAGTTTCCTTTATGCTTCGAGCGTGAGAACTCTCTCTCTCTCTCTCTCTGTTCTCTCATTGAATGGTAGAATCGAAAAAATTCTTCAAATAGATATTCAGAATATTCGATAAGAATAGAATGGAATTTAGAGAACTTCTAAGACAACTGAGAGAATCGAAAGGTAATTGATTGATAGTCTCTTTACTTTTCTTCTGTGAGGATTGTAGTCAGGATTGCGTCGTATACGAAGATGGCGATCGGCGCTTGTCCACCGTTGCGTGACCTTAAGGGGCAAGTCGTCAGGATGCAACTTCCTTTGATACTCCTCGCCTTCGCACACTTCGTACAGAGAGAATTGCTCGACGCGTTCTTTGGAACTGTAGCAGCTCAACAACATCTGGATCAGCTCGTCCACGGTCGTCTGCTCCGAGACTAGTAGACTCTTGTACTTTGACTGGAAATTGTAAATCAGTCTTCGTAAGATATTCGTAGAGTAGCATGCGGAATAAATAATTAAAAAAAAGTCAAACTCTTTTACTCTTCTACTCTCGATTTGAGAGAATGAAAATGGAAATGAGTAAACGTAATAGCTCCAGCTGAGGTATCTCGCGCGAACTGGCGAGAGTGAAAATTACGAGGAAACGCGTGTAAAATGTTGGTAAAGTGTGCGTAACTTACTCCGGACATGAGCGTGCTGTCGTATATTTTGACAAGTCCTCCGCGGCGTGTCTGCAACGAGAATCTGCAACAAGAAAACATCCGTGAATCTCGCGGGCATCGTAGAAACCGGCAAGTTCAAAGGGCATCGGCGAACGCTACTTCTACGTAGAAACACGGGGCCTGAAATTTCCAGTCAAACACTGCCTGTCTACGTAACGTATATCTTCGCCGGAAGTTTCGAGCTACCAAGAAAACACTGGTGACTCCATCCTTTCTTCTACTCAGAAGACAGAAGCTTCTCGACACTTAAAACCTAAACGTTCCTTCCTCCTGTTCACAAACCTCTCCCAAAAGGAGTATCTGAATTTCCAATGTAGAAGTTGGTATCTATAGAAATACAATAGATCCTCGTTTGGAGTTTGTTATACACAGATTACACATAGATTACGAAAATTATGCAAATTTCTGCCTTTGTGAACACGCGAGTAACTAAGAAGCAAAACTCTGTTACATTCTATGGATATTAGTAGCGAGTATCGCAGATCAAAGAAATAAATAGAAATTACAGAGTGAATTTTCCCTCTTAAAATGTCCGTGTCGCCAGAAGCTGTGCAAAAGTTCGTGGTATTTATAGCCTTGCTTCTCTGCCGATTAAAAATCTTAGCTAAACGACGAAGCCACGATCCTCCAGTCCATTCGTCGACTCGTTAGCATAAATAAAAGCACGTCTCGCACGGTCGAGCCAGACGACTCGAAGAAGCCAAGAACAAAGGGAATCTCTCGAAAGGACGTTGCTCGTCGTTGGCTCGTGCTCGCCGACCCACAAGAAGTCGTGTTTACGGTCGGTCGCGAGCCCTGAAATTACGTCACGAAGCCGAGCGAAACACCGAGGGGGAGGAATGTCTCTTTCGAAGAGACGAGAGGCAAGAGTGGTCTCAGAAATCGTACCTGGAATCGCCACGAGGATGACACGATTGCAAAACGGCAGGCCTTGCGTCCTCGTCCAGAGGGAGAACTGTCCTCACGTTTGGTCTTCTCACGGTGACCTCCATGGTGAGGTAGTACAGCCTGGGATCACGGTGCCTCATGCGATACTTGTTCAATAAGTTCTGAATGATCTCACGACAAGTCGTTTCATACGTGATGCACAGCGTCTTGTACTCGATGTCCGGTCGAAGACAATTGGCGTACACCTTTATGGTTGTCTGAAAGGAAAATCGAAGACTGTCAGTAAATAACATGGAAATATTCTAGCGAAACATGTGAAAACTTCGACATGTGTTTTAAATGCTGCACCATTCCTTCTCCGAATGCTATAGTAAACAATAGTATTTCGATCGACTTCCAATCTCCGGTTCAAAACTTACAGAGAGAGAGAGAAAGAGTTGTTCTAAAAAAAGAACACGAGGTTTTTTTTTAAAAAAGGGTCGAAAACGACGTCCTGTTGTCGCAGGAAGAGCTATGAAAAAAAAGAAAAGGACCCGATGCACGGGACAAGAACCCTGACAATTAGTCCATAATTAACTCGGGGACAGACATTGGCCACGCGCGCTGCATAAAACGCTATCAACCCTTCAGATACGCCGGCTACGAAGGGATGCATGCACCGAAAATAAACCAGACACCAGATCACCCCGTTCGCAGATGGTTAAAAGTCACGCTTGTGTGTATCCATATGTCAAGATTAATGCTCCGTTTACGCAGCGGTAGCCTATAATATTAAATACACGGAGTGTGAAAATTGATGTTAGTCCCACGCGGACAAAATCAAGGCATGTTACTCATTCGAATTACCATTAAACGTTTGAAATCATTCCCGGTAGTCTGGATAATTTGCAAAG